TAGAAGATATCATTGCAAACTAAATAGGTGTCTCCGATGTGTGCTGGATTCGAGTTGCTGGGTCAGTCTTGTGCTGACGCTTTACTTGTGGGACGCTACACATAGGATTTTCTGTGCGATGCCGAAAAGACAGTCTTGCCAATCTACCTGATCTGGCAGTCTAGTTGAAAATATACCTAATATCATGATAGTTCTAGCAAAACAGAGCTGGAGTGAAGTGAAGTGAAATAGAATAATATCTAGATTCAAATGAGAAGTTGAGATCCAAAACTTGACTCCAATTCTGAACACATTAAAAATGATGATAGTGCAATAATGATAATAATAGTCAAATATTAATACGCATTGGTGCCCACACCCGAAATCCCTTACCCGATCAAGACCACAGGAAGTTCTCTATCCATATATTCATAGTGCTTAACCAAGTATAAATAGTACCTAGGTAGAGAACTTATTATATGGCTAAAAGCTGCTGCGCAGGATAATCCGGTAATGTAACTCTATTATCGGGCCGCCTTCGTGCTTCGCGAGACTAGTTTACGAGATCACACATCCCGATTCTATGATGGGTTAGCTCTATGCGATATTCAGTTAAAAACAAGAGCGAGAGGCATGTACATAGTGAGAAGGATGTGGCGATCATATGAAAATTCCCATGATCTTTGCTCCAACACTCAAAATGGTTGTTATCCCGCTCAAGGCCTTTGCAAAAAATCCCTTACTTTTCGTAGCCCTTCTCTCAAGCTCCCGTTCTCTAGCTGCAATCTGTCGTTGTTCCTCTTGCAAATGTGCATACCATTCACGGTCTTCTTGTCTTTGTCTCTCCCACCTAGCCTCTCGTTCCCTCTCCCGCGCTTCTTCGGCCTCGAGTTGCTGTTGATGTCTTCGTTCGGCAGCCTCTCTTTCAACTTGGATTTGTCTTCGGATTGCTTCGTCTTTCTCCGCCTGCAAGCGTCTTTCTGTCTTTTGAAGCGTTTCTGCATGTTCTCTTCTTTCCCTTTCGGCTCTGATAGCGTATTCCTGGCGCTGCCTTTCATTGGCTTCTTCTCTTCTCCTCGACTCAGCCTGAAGGTTCTCCATTTTATTAACAGTATCTCGCATCTGTTGCTCGTACTGTTGTTGTTGCTCAGCCATTTGTTTTAGAAGAGCTTTATGCTGCGCATCTTTCTCTTCGGCAATCTTTTTGAGATTGGTCTTGAGGGCCTCTGTTTCTTGGTATGTCTTTCTTATCTTCTCTTCGAACTTTTGTTGATCTCTTTCTATCTGGCTCAGCCATTTTTGGTCATTCTCTTGCATAGCAAACTCCATGTCTTCTTTCAGCTCGTATAGTCTCTCTTGGAACGCCCTTCTTTCTTTGATGAGCTCCTCTTGCAAAGCTTGCGCGGCGTCCGTGTCGTCAAGGTTCATCTGTTGATCGATGAGCTGTTTTTGGATGTCTAGAACGACCCTGACCGACCTGTTCACAAGGGAAGCAACTATGTCTAAAGCAGATTCACGACTGCCATCGTGCCTTAAGACCTTGCTGCCGCGCTCAACCATACCTCCCCAGAAGCCATCGGTTTGTACGAGCTCTTTGATTCTCTCGGAACCGACCGCTTCTGGTATTCTCGCACCCTCAGCGTTGGTCCAATGGGTTGTCACAAGGACTACCGAGTCCAAGTTGTTTTGACCACACAGCTGCTTAAACATCCTCAAGTTTCTCAGAGCCGAACCCTGCATTCTCACATCGGAGATGCGGTGGAGGTATATGATGCCGGCAAGCTTTGCTTTGTTCGAGTAAGCCGCAGCAAGCCAGAATGCAACGTCCTTGAGAATTTCGGAATCGGATCGATTGGTATCATCAAATCCCGGGGTATCAACTAGAAAAACACGAGATCCACCGTAATTGAAGTCATATACTCCAACTTCAGAGGTACCTATGTTGTTGGGGATTTGTTAGCGCTAACAACATCATTGACTTGTTATTACCTCTATATTTTTGTTCTTTTTCCCTCTTCTCATTCTGCAACAGTAGATAGACTTACAAGATTGTAGCCCGTGACCGATTTTAAGTGACTCTTCGACTAAGAGATTGATGAAAGTGCTCTTTCCAGCTCCGGTCACTCCCATCACTGCGATAACGATGTCTGACTTGCTGTTGACAAGATTAGTTGAATAATGGAGTTCAAATGGATGCACAATCCTAAAATTTTTCGACCTACTTGAAGCCAATACTTGAGCGCTGAGCATTAATATCAGCAGCCTGTTGTTGTGTCCCTGTCGTGTTTCGTTGAAGAGTCGAAGGCTTTCGTGGGACTTGGGGACGGGATCGGGGTGAAGTCGGAGATTGTGGAGAAGATAGGTCCAGCGGCGGAACATATGAACCAGGTCGGTTTCGCCGGGTACTTGTACTATTCTCCCTTGAGGATCTCCCATCATATGAAGACCTTATTGGCAAAGGTGGCGGGCTGGAGTTAAACTCTGACATGATATTACTTGATCTAGGTGTTGTAGCTTGATAGCTGGACGTCCGCCATTCTGATGAATTGAAGTCGCTAGGAGCATCCGTGGTGTCTCCGACGTACGCTGACGGTTGAGTTAGGGGTGAGAAAGATGAACTCGAAGATTGAGGTTCTTCGAATAGAGAATACGGTGGAGAAGGCCCAAAGTTTGTACTAGTGTACTCCATAGCTAAGATTATGCAGAGTTCTATCAATATTATATTCTGCTTAGTTGAGGCCTCGTGTAGGAGAAACTTTTATCAGTGATACAGTTCATATCTGGAAAATTACGCGACTAAATATAAGAATCCAGAGCGGGACTATTGAGCCTCATGCGGGGTCATGATCAATGCTTTGCCACATGTCGACAGTTCTCGAAACGAGGCTGTCTACACGTAGAAATTCAGGCAGCATTATGCGCATATATGCACAATGTGTTTTCCAATTTAATTGAGCCAATGCCGTTGAGAGAAAGTATAGAGTGATAGGAGAATAGAGTGACTGAATTTACTTGAGGAAGCGTTTACAATATGTGGCTTTGCATTTACATGCATTTGTGGTTGCATCGACACCGCATACGGTTGATTCAAACTTCATGTAATACTCCCAGCCTCGAGTTGAGGGGTCATGTAACACAAAAGTATTTTTTGCTTCTCAATGGTCAACACTGAGAGTGAAATTCTGTTGCAGGTACTTGAAATACTTTGTTAATTGAATCGAGACCTCAACCAATTGAAGAATCCCAATCTTCATAAAAAAGTATTTAATGTTCGATAGTTTACCTGGACGGCCAGTTTCACCAAGTCCAAGTATCGAAAAAGTCACTTAAGTAATAAATCATCCGCGTCTATTTCATAAGATCAAGGCACTATATATTAGTATATAGATCAAAAAAAAACCCTGATTTTTAATCTTGGAAATAACGTCACAGGCCTCAAAAATGGCGTCTGCACCAAATTCCCCGATACGTTCCTCTATCAGTCCTCAACTTGCCCGCATCTTGACAGAGTTTCAATCAAAAGAAGCCGCCCAGCATAAATCTCCACCAACATCACCTGAAGTAGTAAAGGCACGTCTGATCGCGCCTGAAGAGCTGACTGTGCTGCTCATGGGAGTAACCGGTTCCGGGAAGAGTACTTTTATCAAGCGTGTAACAGAAGATGAGTCCATCATTATTGGCAGATCAATGAGCTCTGGTATGGCCCCCTTTCTAAACGAATGTTTCAAAGATTATGTTTAACACCTTTTTAACTCATGGCATAAAGAGACTCGCGAGATACAAAAAATATCTTTCGCGACACCAAAGGCAAATTTCTGTCTTGTAGATACTCCTGGATTCAATGATACATTCCTCTCAGATAATGATATCTTGAAGCTCCTTGCAGACTGGCTCGAGAAATCATATCGAGATGGCACTAAGATCCGCGGTATCATATACCTACACCGCATTTCGGATCCAAGAATGGAAGGATCTGCTCTCCGCAGTCTTCGTATGTTCCGCAGGCTATGCGGCGATGGCTTTCTGAAGAATGTCGTTCTAGGAACCACATTCTGGGACACAGTAGGCGAGGAAACGGGTATTAGACGAGAAACCGAGCTTCTTGAAACGGAAGGGTTTTTCAAGGATATGAAAGAGCTGGGATGCGAGGTTGTCAGAATCCAGGATAACCGAGAATCCAACATTGAGCTTCTTGAAAAGTTTGTAGAAAAACGAGCATCTATTCTGTGCATCCAAAGAGAATTACTAGACGGGAAGTCTCTTGCTGAGTCTGCAGCTGCGTCTGCGATCAATGCGGAGCTGGCTGAAATCCAACAGAGGAATGTGGAAAAGTTAGGGGATATCAAACACCAAACGGAACGTCGTATGACAAAGTCCGCTCTGGAGATGGCACTGAAAAGGAAGTTGGAAGAACGTAAATTTGAAAAAACTATGGAAGATTTAGAGGGAAAGAAAGAAGAAATACGCCAAGAAGGTGAAGCAGAGGTACAGAGGCAGGAGCAGCAGCTATCAGAATTGAGAACTCAACAAGCAAGACAGAACCAAGGTTTCCAGATCAGCCTCAATGAGTTGACAGGACAACTTGAAGCTATGAAAGCGAAAATGCAGACAGCTTGAGCCTTAGCTATAGGTTTGGTTACATATGGGAGAGAATAACGGAATCATTCGATAGTGGTGGAATGTTATAGTTAACCTTTTTAATTTAAAAGAACGTTAATGTTAAATGATATAGTTCCATTTCGATTATGTAAGAGCGAAGGAAAAAATATAGTTTTATTGAGGATAGTATTCATTGTAAAGTCCATTATTTGATCGCATGTAATCTATCAAATCAAGAATTGATATCTGTTAATGGTGAGTGACCTAATCTAATAACAGAATAGGAAAGAATAAACCCTAAATTACTAGTCTCGAGACTAAATCTAACCGGGATATTGAACTCCCATTCACCACAAAATTTATCAAGAAAAGTATAAAACAAGGCCATAATACTAACAAAAAGGTGAGACCCCAAGGGGTCTTGCCTCCTATCAGGATCGAACTGATGGCCTCGAGATCGCATCGGTCGTTTAGACCGTCATAGATGACTATGAGACTCGCGTGATAACCAACTACACCAAGGGGGCTTGTACTGTAGGGTCCGGGGCTTAGAAAGCTACTCCAAATGCGTGGAGACAGAATGGGCAATCTGCTGCTCGAAGAATTTGATATTGACAATTGTACTTACATAGATTATGTTTCAAAGTATTTGTTTTACTAAAAACTTAATCTCGCAATAGCTAGTGCTTCTGAAAAAATATTTTCCATCAAATATACCCTGCAAAGGCGCAAAAAGGATGTTTATATCAAAAAAGATCCGAAAAACAAAAAAAACAAAAAGTATGATTTCATTGAGGATCGAACTCAAGACCTCGACCGTTCAAATGCCTCGAAAGGCTCTTGTTAAGGTCGCGTGATAACCAACTACACCATGAAACCTCAGAACTTGAAAGCATAGGCAATTTTTTGCGTCTATGAATTTTTCATGATTTCTGCCTCGTTGGCGAGCGATACGATTTAATCATATGTTTTACAAATCCGATTATCTGGGATTTATAGTAGTTGGTAGTGTTGAGCAGTGAAACAATTACTGTAGTACTTGCGTACTGGTACGATACTAAAGTACAAAGTTTTACCCACCCTACATTACATAAGTGCGTAGCAGTTGACTTCAAATCTATCTCAACTCCTTTCGATCATCCACGGACACGATGATCATCCTTGGGATCGATATTGTGATCCCAATAAGTGCCTGAGACTTGCCTGTTCAGGCAACTAGAGGTGGAAAACACATGAACAAAATGCAACATCGTGTTAAATGCGTTGTCGACACCTTGAAACCATTCACCGATTTTGAGCGGGTATCGAGTGATCGATGTGACACGGACCCTTGAAAAGCTGAGAGGCTAAGCCGAAAGCTTCTCATACATGGAATATAGTAGATAATACAGTGCTAGGTAGCATCTGTACCAAATTTTTGAAAGATGTACCAACTCGCCTTCCTGATCTCAGTCTAGCGTCCTAATCTTATCTCTTGTCATAACAGCTTAATTACTCATACCCTATTAAACATCGCGGCTTCATCAAGTATCCACTTAGTTTACAAAGGATATAAGATGTGGTCGAAAATTATAAACAGGTCACTTCTTGTGTCCCATGCTGCCCTGACCAGTAGTGTAGTATTTGCAAAGAATGCACTTGCCAGCAGTAACCCAATCACTGTTGTACATGTTACGAAGTACGTGACAGTGACAGAAACGCCAACTGTCACAGCGTTCCTCGACGAAAGGCAGTTTGATTGTCCTCAAACGTTGAGCTTTTGCTCCAATGTACTTGCTTCGTGGTCTTCTAAGGGTATGTATACACTAGCACCATTAATTCTATCTAGCTAGCTAACTTTAAATTCGCACACATAGTTGCATTTCCAACTCTATCCGCTGGCCAAGTCTTTGCCATTCAAATACAAGTATTGGAAGATACACTGGATCTCAAACCGGAGCCGCATCTTGCACTATTGGAGTCATATGTAGTCGTCTACAATAGCCCAGTAATTGTCGGATGGTACCTAGATGCCAGCGATAACTTGATGTTTGATGACACCGGTCTCGCATTAGGAATCGCGCCGCTCGATGCCCCCAATTCCAAGAAGCGAGCGATTGGGCCTAGAGGGGAGGATATGGAACCAGATGAAACCGTTGTAGCAGGCGCTTCAAATGCTCCTGTCGCTGCTCCGACTTATACGAAGTGGGCTTATGGCCAACCCGAAGCTCACTACGGTGATCCAAACTACCCTCTTACACTGCAGGTTATGGATCCTAACGGCAACATCATTCCTCTCACTTTTATGGTGTGCAAAGAGGCAGCTCCAAAGCTTAACATTAGCCTCTGGCAACTCGAGGCCTTGTACAATAAAGATAATTTCTTTGCGACAAATACGATCTCAGGGTTGACCTCGGCTAGCTGCCATCCTGTCAGTTTACAAGCTATTACAAGTAGTCTTACCCTTTGGACACATAGTGTTACACCCTCGACAACGACTACTGTCGCGCCGACGGTCACAACTCAAACAACGTCTGCGACTCCGATTTCAACAACGTCCGGGACCCCGATTCCAACAAGCCCGTCTTGGACTAACTTCCCTATCCGAGTCGACTTCGCAATACAAAATCCAAAGAGAGATGTCGACACTTCGACAGGGTATTATATCACCGAGGTTAGCAATGGGGCCTTCTATATTGGCGAAGGCACGGACAACCCTCCGGCATATTTCGACTACAATATGACCAAATATCTTGTCTCTCAAGAGACCGGTGACAATTTCGAGGTTCATTTGTCGAAAGCCGCCACCAATAGTACCGACCCCAGCGACTACATCTGGATAGACCGGTTCGACCTGCTCGGGAACGGAACGTTATTAATGCTTGACGGCGATACCGTCATCACGGCTTCGTACTTTGCTTGTTATTCTGATGAAACAAGTACCGACTACCTTCTCGGAGCCGCCATAAATGTAGATTTGTATGCTGGGCTAGATCCAAGCTGTGTAGTAGTATATCTCGTCGGAGAATCAAGCGCGAACCCAGCCAGCACCACAGTCGTACCAACAACCCAAACGACTACCACGACACCGGTTACCACAATGACAAATCTCGATCCCAATATCAACGGCTGCAATCACCTCAACTATACTCTAGCATACGGTACCACAGGGCTCGCTAATGCCTTCGCTACCGCTTGCTACTGCTGGTCGTATCTCGCTACCACTGTCGAAGCTACGACTACAGAGGATTGCACAGTAACAGTATTCAAAGATGTACCCACGATCACATCAGTCTCCGTGAGTGGGGTATTATCGCTAGCTTCTCGCAGAGAATTAATGTTCCCGAGGGGAATGATTGTCCGTGACCATGAGCTGGTTGCGAGAAATACCACACCGGCAGCATCGGACATTATTGTCATCCCTACACCCACTGACTTTATATCCGTGGCGGCAAGCATCGTCGATGATTCGTGTCAGTCGGTTCTTGACGTGAACGATATCGCGACATTGACTATTACCTCATTGGACGTAGTTGATACTACTGCTACTAGTACAACGATCACTCGGACGAGTGTGCAGACTGTCTGTTATGAGGCGACATATATCAGTGATATCAGCATGACTACGTCGCTTGTGGTCGTTTGTCCAGCATCTGCTACCAGTGCCCAGACTACATTAATTGCAAGATCTTAGTTTGATGTTTTGAGTTTTAGGAGTTATGTAAGTGGCTAGTCGGATAGTTCCATCTAGTCATGAATGATAATAATATAGTTTGTAGAATTTAATTATTAATATAAAGCGAGAAAGGTGGCGAGCTTGTAGCTTTTTACGAGAAAGATCCTTTTGTTTCATATATGTATGTGATATAACATTCGAGCCACGTGTTTGTGACGTTTGATTGGGCTATGATTCATCCATGACACAATATCGAGATATCGGTTACACAACATTGCCGACACATAGCTACTAATATGCAGTGTTTCTCGAGCTTAGGAAATGGTGCTTCGCTGCTAGCTCCAATATTAGTCTCCCAGTGCGGTGTTTATTGTATCTCATAAATGCAAACAAAATATGCCTTCGAGACTTTGATAGAACAGTAGGCTGAACATCGACTCAACGCAGCGTGCAGTTCATCGTGTAGTTACGTTTCTGATGTGTCTAAATCGTAGATGTTAGTTAATTGGAAGCCAATATCACACTCGCACACAGAAAGCTCGAAGGTCTGACCAAGAAGACAAGGCTTCCCAATGTCTTCGGAAAATTGTTGGTCACGTGATAATGAACTCCTTTGGAAGCTGATAGAACGCTCCACTCAAAAAGAAAAAGAAATGCTCAAACTTTCAGTATCGATTAGTCCCGGGAGAAAAATGCAAAAATCTTTAGGATTGGAAACCGTGACGTTCTTCGCTATGTTCATAACGAGATATACGCGTAATTGACTTGCAAGCGTCTTTGCACTCTCCAACCCCCTTTTGGATATATCTCACCGATCCGGAGTTTCGAAGACCAGCTGATAGTACAGGGTCATTTGCATTCGAAGATGAGTTTAGGGTGGCCAGCTGCAGCGGCAGTGGTGGGACACAAGCACCCTTGTCCGTCTTGAGATGACTTGCACACCGACCTCGACGCCTCATCAGGAAAAAAGTAACTCATTTTGTTGAACAGAGCTCACATTCGCGCGTGTAAAATGTGGGGGCTGCGAAACTCCTTGTCCGCGAAACATATTGCACTTCGGAGCTATTCTCCCCTTTTTCCTTTCCCTTGAAAATTATCCGGACCGGAACCGTCGACATATTGCAAGAATGTGCAGGAAAATCACATTCTGTCTATTTGGTTTCAGTGAGTTGCGTGTTTGCGTGGTTGCAGCGATCGCTGGGCTGTAATTGTCTGTCGCAGATGGACACATGCTACAGATACCTAGAAAATTACAGAAGTATATATTTTTTTTCTTCTTTGAAAATTTAAACTTTTGTTTTTATTTGCCCTGGATTTCGTACCATGATTCCCGGCCTATATGAGATCAATCCTATATTTCGCAAGCATCCCCGAAATCAAAGGGTCTGTTGTGCTCCAATCGGTTCGCTGTTTATGAGACATGCACATGGTTTTGACACCAATCACAGTGAATGTGGTAAAACTTCATTTCTACTATGTAATATTATGGGGCACGATACGAAGTATATTGGTACAAACTATCGGATGAACAAAAGTCGTGGATTTGATAATGGATTTATAGGGTGAAGGTGTATATATATACATATATACCCACACCAAAATAATAAATATGCTTAGAGGACCCTTTGAAGTTTTTTTTTATTTCCGCCTGGATCTTGTTGACAGGGCAGTATATTTTAATTGGGATGCGATGGTATAAGATATAAAGGAGCTCTAGAGAGAGGAATGATAGGTTTGGAAGGATGCTGATGTATCGGATAGTCATGATGTATGAATTTCGACAAGTTATCGATGTGATAAGAATAAAAAAAAGCATATCTAGGGCCGGTTCGTGAATTCGTTATTGTTCGTATATTCGGGGTTAGACGGTTC